GTATATATATATATATATATATATATATATATATATATATTTCCCAAATGCTGTTTAATCAAATTTATCTTCTATTCTATAGCGCTTTTACAATATAGATTGTGCCAAAGCAGCTTAACATAGATGTTCTAGCAAATTGAAACTGTGTCAGTCCAGTTTTCAGGGTTGAAGTTCAGTTTAGTTCAGTTCAGTGTGGTTTAAAGTCCAAACACCGAAGAGCAAATCCATCGATGTGCAGCTCATCGAAGTCCCAAACCAAGCAAGCCAGTGGCGACAATGGTGAGGAACAAACTTCAACAATTGACCAAAGAGAAGGGGAAAAAAAACCTTGAGAGAGACCAGGCTCAGCTCCATTTCTCCTCTGGCCAAACGTCCTGTGCAGAGCTGCTGTCTTGGTGCTGGAGGCTGAAGAACGCTGGATGTCCAAAGTGGAGAAGCTTCAGGTGTGAGTAGGTCACTGGCGAGTGTTCAGGCTGGCCCACGGGATCAGTGCGGAGTCTCATGCTCTCCACTCCTCAATGATCACCACAACATCTGCTCAGGATACGGCCTGGTCCAGGATTATGGAGACCTCGGGAATAATGAAAAACAGACTAACATAAGCACTGAGGCCGTTCAAATTATAATGTTTTTTGGGCAGTGTTACCGGCTCTGGTTGCCGAAAATAATGCAGACTAACAATCTTCTAGAGAATTTGGATTTCAAAGCATTTGTGTCTTATGTGTATGCTATTGCAAAGAGATGTGTCTGCTTCCCGAACTGTGCTAGGAAGGCTGTTCCAGAGTTTAGGTGCCAGATATGAGAAAGATCTACCGCCTAAAGTTGATTTTGATATTCCTGGAATCAATTGTCTAGAGTTTAATGAGTGTAGTGGACAAGAGGGGCTATAATAAACCAGGAGCACCCTCAAATAATGGGGAGCTAAGCCGTTCAGGGCTTTTAATGTAGTAAGGATTGTTTTCACAGTGTATCATATTATATTTTTCTTCTGTTGAAAGTCTTATTTCTCTTAGTTAGGATTTTAAAACACTTAAAAACTTCTGAGGTCAATGTTATTAAGATTTATAGTTAATATACATATATATATATATATATA